AGAGGCAGGGCAGGTGTGTAGAGGGAGGTATTAGGAGAGGGGATGAGGAGGGGTCACTCACATGATCAGAGTGGGGCTGCTGGAAGAGTGGGCACAAGAGCAGAGAAGGGCTGATGGAGGGGGGTAGGTCTCAGGAGGGCTGAGGGCAGTGAAAAGGGCAGGAGTCCGAGTCAGGACAGCAGAGGAGGGTGAGGGGTTGGGGTCCAGAAGGCACCAGGGGAGCTGATGGAGCAAGGGGAGGAGACCTGGCAGCAGAGGGAAAAGGTAGATATATATAAGATATTTTATTAAAACTTAGGTGCCACATCCAAATAAACCTGATGAACTCAGTACTGGTGCACAATGAATTGTGTTCTGCTCGTTGGAAGAAACTCTTAGAAGGAACATTTCCCCAAGCCTCTCTGCCCCTGAGTTAATGTCACACACATTGGGTTAATGCAATTGCAGGATAGTTACATGAGAGGGGGTTGGTGGGGGCCAAACTAATCCCTATTAGGAGGAGGATGGTGGGAGAAGTCCTTAGAGGGGTCACATGACACCTTTTACTTCTGGTTGTGTCCATCTTGCCCTGAGAGTGTTACGTCCAGAGGCCTGGCTAATGGGAGTCAGGGGCGTGGTTAACAGGGGTCAGAGGTGTGGCTAATGGGGGTCAAAGAGTAAATTAAAAAAAAATTCTTTGATGTGAAAATGTGGGCTGTTCTCAACCCATTTCTCAAGCCCATTTTGATTGCCAGTCTGCCCCTGCCCTGCCTGCTCTGAATAGTGTAATTGGGCTGTGGGGAGTGGAGCTGGGCTGGACTCAGGTGCTTTGTGACCCAAGCTCCCTTCTATGGGCTGGGAGCACTGTTAAGAGCCAAGCTATATGCAGCACTCTTCTTTGGGTCTGAGAGCAGGGCTTGGTTTATGTTGCACCAGGAGCGCTTTAGCAAAGGTGCTTGGGTCATTGCTGAATTGCTATTGTATTTCTTAGCACAATAGTGCACCCACAAACATTATTTCCTTCTTTGTTTAGCAGTTGAAGAACACATTATGTGAAGATCAAGCTACTTGCTCTTTCAACAGATTTTGCACTTGAAGTTCAAACAAAGAGTAATTGTAATGCTCAGGTAACGGAATGACCAGATATTCTGAATGTCCCTCTGTATTTTTATATAGTAGTTATAGCAATATGGCTAAAATAACATTTTAATTCTAAACTTATTATTTTGTATATAACATTTACTCCTGGAGGAATTCTGTGCCACTGTGTAATGCAGAATTTGCACAGAATTCCATGCTCCCCCTGCAAAGAACTGGGACTACTACTGGCTGCTATTCAGAGTAAGTGGTGTACCCAGACCATTGGGGATGGAGGCTCTGCACACTCTCACTGCCTGACTTGATCCTTGTTCTCCCAGGGATGAGAGAGGTTCCAGAAGACCCAGCTCCGACAGAGGGTGAAGAAGAGTAAAGGATGTGGGGATGCAGGTGACTGGATTGCTGCTGGGCTCTGGGGGAAGAGAGGCCCAGGTCTGGGCTCTGGAGGTACTCTGTGACTGGGCTCTGGGGCTGCAGGTATTGGGACTCCAGGAGTACCCTCTGGCTGGGCTCTGGGGGAGTTTAGTGGTGATGTCTGGGGCCAGTAGGTGCCCCACAGTTGAGTTCTTGAGGGGAGAGAATTTGATTTAAGTCTCTGTTCCTGGTGGAATCTCGTTGTTGTTACCTGTCAATAAGTATGATACAGATATTGTGAAATAAATTACCAAAATAATTCAAAGTGGAGTGATTATACTGTTTTGACACATATGCCGTTTTTGCAAAATTTTAAAATTGTGCACATTTTTAATTTTTTTGTGCAGAATTCCCCCTACGAGTGAATCTTGCATCTAAAAATGGCCCATCACTAACTAGATTCCCCAGAGATTGAGACAGATTTAATTAACCAATCAGGCTGTGAACAGATGAGCTCAATGGCTAATTATCTTATCAATGAGGATAATTAAAGAGTACAGAAAGGATATGCAAATGGGAGGAGAGTGGCAAACAGAGTCTAGGTTTCTGGATAGTGAGAACATCTCTTCCTAGAGAAAGATCTGAGGACTGAAAAATACTGTAGAGTTGTAGACAGAAGTGTTACAAGGGTATTGTGATGGTTGCTTGGTGATACAAACATAAATAAAAACTAAGAGGTGTTGACAGTCAAGACACATTCAAAACCATTTGAGAGAGCCAAAATCTATTGGTGTGAAGGGCATGCTGAAAAGTTCATGTTTGCAAGGGACATTTTTAGAAAGGGAAATGGTGATGATTAAGGAGGCATAGAAATTTCTGGGCTATGTGGTTTAGTTACTGTTTTATTTGTGGGACTGCTGCTTGTTTCTATCTTTATATTATAGGTTGAACCTTTCTGGTCTGGCAGCATCCATGGTCTAGCATGATTTTAGTTAGCCTTATTATGGGTGTGGCAAAGTTTCTCACAGTCCCATAAAGTTTGTTTAAAGCCACCAGTTCAGGCTCTCAGTGTTCTGTGCTGTTATTTAGCTTTAATTTACCCATATATGTCTTCTAAGAGCTCAGTAAGCAGTTAAAATGTTGGTAATACTGCCAGACAATATTGACATCCTGTGGTTTGGCAAATTTTCTGTTTCAGCACTGGTCAGGTCTCAAGGGTGCTGGATCAGAGAAGTTCAACCTGTAGTAGCAGTGTTAGCGATAACTAGAGTATGAGAGTGTAAGTGTCCTTTCTGATTTGCATAAGACTAAAGAAATACAAAAGTCACTAACTGATTGAGAACCTGTTCACTGAGTGCTACAGTGAGTATGCCAACATCTACATACATGACTGAACAAAGATCTTTTAATGTGATAGTGTCAAACTTCCTAGATGGAGGACCAAATTCAGTCTTTAGTTATGGTTAGTGGGCTGAGATACATTTCACTCTACATATTACTTCAGTTGACAGTGAACTGCTACTATTTGTGAGGCTTACACAAGAATTGAGAGTAGAAAGTGATCTTTATGTAATTATTAAACTTTTAGTAAGCAAAAACATGATTGAGATACAAAATAATAAATGGTAGAAAAGTTAAATTGCCCATTTCTATCAATCTGACTTGTTAGACAAGAACAAAGGAACACATTTAGAATATAGATATATTTAAACAAAGTAGCATTCAAAACTGAACTAAAACTTGAGAACTTTCACAGATCTTTTAGAAGTGTCATCAGTTTTTGCTATTTTTATTGCAAGTCTCACATGCTTTTCCTAAAGCCCCAGCTCTTGGAGTCATGTAATTACATGAATATCCCAGATTTTATTGAAAAAACCCCCCCCCCCCCCACACACACTTTATAGCCCTAGTAGTTATGAAGAACACCTGAAGATCTAAGACTCAAATCAGAATGTATTTTTTCAAATCTCATGGGTCTTAAATCAGTCTCATAGTTTTGGAGGTCAGATGTATGACATTCCAAGGAAGGGGAGTGGCAACACTGATTTAAACACAGATGTGGATGCGTGGTCATCTGCTCCGGAGGAGGCATCCATTTTCCCATATCAGGATTAGGCAGTGACGAGCATATCCAGCTTTTGTGATTTCACCATGAGTCTCTCAATATTTGGTTTATTAAAATCCCTAGCTCCTGGATGTATGTGATTAGATGAGCTTTCAAACAAGTAAATCTAAAAAGTGTGTGTGTGTGTGTGTGTAAAGAGGATTTCCTTGGAGGGGTAGCAGCTACAGTATTTACTCAACAACTTTAAAATGATTTTTAGCCCTCACAGTTGCTGTGATAAGTTGGAAAACTTGACCTGGGTGCAGTTTGAGAGTTCAGAAACCAATCACAACACGTGGCTAATCATAATCGTGTGTGTGACACACACGCTCGCTCTCTCTGTGTAAGGTGAGGTGATTGGTGACTTTTGAACACGTGGTGTTGCCAGCGCAGTGAGTGAACCGTGGCCCCTCTGCAGCCTCTCCTCCCTGTACTGAAAACACAGATCAGGACGCTGACGCCTGGGCAGCCCCCTCTGTCCCCTCAAATCCGGTCCCGGGCTGCTCCCCGGCAGGGCTAGGGGCAGGCACAGCGGCGCGTCCCAGCTGGGCTCCTGAGCTGCACAAGGGGGCGGGGCAGCCGGGAAGCTGGAGCGGTTTCGCTTTTCGCTAATGCACATGTGCGGCACTTCCGCGCATGCTCAGTGAAGCGAGCCGCCGTCGCAAAGCCCGCCCTGCTCGGTGGCCGGGATCTGCATCCGGGTCGCGGCTTGCGGCTGTGCCCATTGTCTGGGTTACCGGCCCGGACTCCGCCAGCTCCGGGGCCCCGCGCTGAGGAGCCGGAGGGGAGGGAGGCGCGCGCCCGCCGCCG